TGGAATGCTAGACATCCTCCTCTACATTTGATGCGATCCTTACTCAGAACATTGTAACCATCACAAAGCTGTGGACTACCATTTTCATTGAGCTTAGTTTCCTGTACCCTCGCGACCAAGATATTCTTCCGATTTATGAAATCTACTTTCCTGAAAGAACGTTGCAAATAAATTGCAGAAATTATGCACTTTCAGAAGTAGAACCAGCAACGTGCGGTGTTAAATGCTGCATATTGGGCTGCTGTTAAGGAGACTGCGGTGAAGTAAAGTTCTGTATTCCAACAAAATAGATGACGTCGTGGACTAGAATTCGCTGGGGATTGCGATTTAGCAGCACGAGGAAACGTAATACCGTTCGCACTAGCCTCGCAATTGAAGCAAGTTCCTGAATATGTTGCTACCAAAACAGAATAACAATATAAACATATATAACTGGGTTGGCAGCCGCTGGCCGAGTAATTTCGGGTCAATCCGGTATCGTAGAACCCGATGCCTTAGAATTGTCTGACATTGTTACATTCCTTACTGGTTTTTACACAAAACCAGTACAAGTTGCTATTACACTTATTTGCCCAAATCAAAATGTTTCACATATGGTCCTTCACTTACTGGGTGTTTTGAGTATAGGTCCATATTTTTATACATCCCACATCTAACACATCCGCTTAAATGCTTCAGCCAGTCCCACTGACAATCTTACTTATTAGTCCTTAAACAACTTTCTATTTGCGCCTATGTACCAAATAATACTTGTCACTTGCAAATAAATTCGAAATCAAAATATTTCGATATGATTTATTTGTTTCGGTTGCCAGGTAAGTGTAAATGACGGTTACCATGTTAGGCGACCTCAACATCGTTAATGAGGGGGAGGACAAAACGGTTGAATGCCGGCTTAGACAGCAAGAGATAGCCACTTTAATATTTGTTGGCACAACACGAATAAATAACCAGTAAGGAAAGTAGTAAAGTCGGACTGGGCCGACTATATGATACCCTTCACCATTTTGGGTATATTGTAGATATGTATCCATAGAATTGCATGTCCATGTTCCCTTGAAGGAACATATTCACGTATTTCTGCAACCTATGATAAATTTAATTTTATTCGGGTAGATTTAGAGTCGTCTGCGTACCATGGGACAATTTTATGGAAAACGATTTGTAGCAAAATTGATACACGCTATTCGGTACGCCGCACTGCTAAACATTTAACTTTAATCAGACACCCGTTTGATATATTTCATGAAAACGCAATAACGCCATTCAAGTCTCAATTTAATATGTTGTGCAAAAATTCGTGTTAATCGGACAAACATTATGATTTTGGTGAACCATTTAGTTAAAATCGGACGAATATATAAAAGAAGGATATATAGGGACTTTGGTGCACTATTTACCTTAAACCGGACGTAAATATATAAAGGAGACATATTAAAATTGTAACCGAGCTTCCCGAAACATAACACACATATCTCTAGACTTACTTTAGTACGCTATGCCAAATATCGTGCAAATCGAAGGATATATAGGGACTTTGGTGCACTATGTACCTTAAATCAAAGAAAAATATATATGAGAGCTATATCTAAATCGGAACCGATCTTCACGAAACTTAACAGACATCTCTCTAGACTTACTTTAGTACGCTATGCCAAATTTCGTGCAAATCGAAGGATATATAGGGACATTCGTGCACTATGTACCTTAAATCGGACGAAAATATATATGGGACCTATATCGAAATCTGAACCGATTTTCCCGAAATTTGGCACACATCGTTCTAGAGTTAATTCATTGCGCTGTGCCAAATTTCAAATGCTATTTAGTGACTTTGGTGCACCATTTACCTTAAATCGGACGAAAATATATATGGGAGCTATATTTAAATCTAAACCGATTTTCACGAAATTTGGCAGACATCATTCTAGACTTAATTTTTAGGGACTTTGGTGCACCATTTACCTAAAATCGGGCGAAACTATATATGGGAGCTATATCTAAATCTGAACCGGTTTTCACGAAACTTAGCACACATCATTATAGAGTTAATTCATTACGCTATGCCAAAATTCGTGCAAATTGAATGACTTTTAGGGACTTTGGTTCTCAATTTACCTAAAATCGGACGAAAATGTATATGGGAGCTATATGTAAATCTGAACCGATTTTCTCCAATTTCAATAGGGTTCGTCCATGGGCCAAATAAGTGACTTGTGCCAAATTTCATCCAAATCGGATTATAAATGCGACCTGTACTTTGTTTACAATTTAACATCGGACGGACGGACATACATAAATCGACTCAGAATGTGATTCTATGCATATTCTCAAAAGGAACCATGGGTCTATCTCGATTCCTTTTGCTGTTACAAAGATATGCACAAAGACATAATACCCTGTACCACAGTGTGGTGAAGGGTAAAACGTCTTTGTGCTAATTTTTAAATATTCTTTTAAAAACCCCCCCTTGTAGTAGTTGAAAACCAGTAAGGAAAGTAGTAAAGTCGGACGGGGCCGACTATATGATACCCTTCACCACTATGGGTATATTAAACAGGACTATTAACATGTAATTGGATGAAAAAAAGTAATATTTATCTAAATGTGAATCTACCTAGATCTATCCATAAAGTATGTTAATCGACTTCAAACAAATATAAATAAGTCCGTTGGGCTATGTCTGTACTTCTAGAAAACGCAACTACGTAATTGTATGCTCAATTTTGTGCGTTGTGCACAATTTGATGTCAATCTGACTAACATGAGGAGTCTGATGCCCAATTTACTTGAAATCGGTCGAAAATATATATGGAAGCTCTATCCAAATATTAAGCGATTTCAAACAAACTTGTCACAGGTTAGGTTATACTAATTTCAGAACGTTTTGTTTCTATTGGTTCCTTAGTACGTCAATTACTTAAAATCAATCTATAATAAAAGGGAGCTATATCTAAATCTGGACCGATTTTCACGAAACTTGGCAGACATCATTCTAGGCTCAATTCAGTACGTTATGACAAATTTCGTGCAAATCGAAAGTTATGTAGGGACTTTGGGGCACCATTTACATGAAATCGTACGAAACTATATGTGGGAGCTATATCTAAATCTGGGCCGATTTTCTCGAAACTTGGTAGACATCATTCTAGGCTCAATTCAGTGCGTTATGCCAAATTTCGTGCAAATCGAAAGTTATATAGGGACTTTGAGGCACCATTTACATGAAATCGGACGAAACTATATATGGGAGCTATATCTAAATCTGGACCGATTTTCTCCAAACTTGGCAGACATCACTCTAGGCTTAATTCAGTACGTTATGCCAAATTTCGTGCAAATCAAAAGATATATAGGGACTTTGGGGCACCATTTACATGAAATCGTACGAAACTATATATGGGAGCTATATCTAAGTCTGGACCGATTTTCTCGAAACTTGGTAGACATCATTCCAGGCTCAATTCAGTACGTTATGCCAAATTTCGTGCAAATCGAAAGTTATATAGGGACTTTGAGGCACCATTTACATGAAATCGGACGAAACTATATATGGGAGCTATATCTAAATTTGGACCGATTTTCTCCAAACTTGGCAGACATCACTCTAGGCTTAATTCAGTACGTTATGCCAAATTTCGTGCAAATCGAAAGTTATATAGGGACTTTGAGGCACCATTTACATGAAATCGGACGAAACTATATATGGGAGCTATATCTAAATCTGGACCGATTTTCTCCAAACTTGGCAGACATCACTCTAGGCTTGATTCAGTACGTTATGCCAAATTTCGTGCAAATCAAAAGATATATACGGACTTTGGGGCACCATTTACATGAAATCGTACGAAACTATATATGGGAGCTAAATCTAAATCTGGACCGATTTTCTCCAAACTTGTTAGACATCATTCTAAGCTCAATTCAGTACGTTATGCCAAATTTCGCGCAAATCGAAAGATATATAGGGACTTTGGGGCACCTTTTACATGAAATCGGACGAAACTATATATGGGAGCTATATCTAAATCTGGACCGATTTTCTCCAAACTTGGCAGACATCACTCTAGGCTTAATTCAGTACGTTATACCAAATTTCGTGCAAATCAAAAGATATATAGGAACTTTGGGGCACCATATACATGAAATCGGACGAAACTATATATGGGAGCTATATCTAAATCTGGACCGATTTTCACGAAACTTGGCAGACATCATTCTAGACCTAAATGATTAAGCTGTACCAAATTTCGTGCAAATCGAAAGATATATAGGGGCCGTTTACATTAAATCGGTTAAATATATATATGGGAGCTATATCTAAATCTGAACCGATTTTTCCCAATTTCAATAGGGTTCGTCCTTGGGCCGAATAAGTGACCTATGCCAAATTTCATTCAATTCGGATCATAAATGCGACCTGTACTTTGTTTACAATTTAACATGGACAGACAGACAGACGGACAGACGGACGGACATGCATAAATCGACTTAGAAAGTGATTCTATGCATATTCTCAAAAGGAACCATGTGTCTATCTCGTTTCCTTTTGCCTGTTACAAACATATGCACAAAGACATAATACCCTGTACCACAGTGTGGTGAAGGGTATAATAAATAAATCGAACAATAATCGAATCGGTATGGAAACGGAAAAAGGAAATGGAAAAACAATGCCGACCTATTGATGATTTATCAGTGAGAAAACATTCACATTGTAATAAGAGCATTCACCGGTGTCAAAAGTCATTTCTTACAACGAGCGGACTGAAGTCAAATAACTTCGATAATTCCAAAAGAAAAAAATATTTTCGTCCAATACCCTGTGTTCTTCATTGACTTATCAGTAATGAACAAAATAAATATTTAAATAGACAAAAATATTTCCAACAACAAAAACAAAAATTACTAAGAAGCAAAAGATTTTTACCAAGAAGCTCTCGAGTCAAGTCAGCAACCTCATCCGCCCTTGTGTGTGCGTGTGTGGTGTTTTGGTGTGTTTTTACGATAATGGTGCAAATAACCCAAACCGATGAAGAAATTAAAATCACAATTGAATTAAATCGCCTGATAACCCGCAAGCCGGACATTGTCCTGCTGCCAACATATCTGAAATTCAATAACCCTCCGATATTTTTCGAACGACATTTGGTACAAGAAATCGATGAAGTGGCAAGTTTTTGTCGCATATTCAAAAATGAGGCACGCATTGTGTTAATCAAAAAGGCCAAAGGCATTTGGCCGGAAATCTTTAAGAAACTTAGCAAAGAAGAGTTGCTGCAAAAACGCCTCGAAGTTTCCGATCAAGTAGTGCAACGCAATAAGGAACGTGATGAGAAGGCATTGGAACGTTATGAAATTAAACGGCGTAATGAAATTGATCGTGAGGTGAGGCGTGAGACGGCCATGCGGGAAAGGGTTAAACAATTCCATGAACAGGCTTGTCGTGAAGCTATGACAGTGGCGCCCAAGGAGACGCATATGAAAACTAAACAAGAATCGTATGGAAATGGATCGACATCAGCTAGATCTAATAGCCGCTTGGGTACACCAATTGCACCACGCTCCTTACCAGCTTTACGAACCACTGCAAAGATATGTGTCAGTTTCTCATCATTCAAATATGATACACCGAAACGAGAGTCACAGGAGGGAGTACCGCGACCATTTGTCGTGGATGATATGCAAAATGTTCGAGAAGTCGATAATTCGAATGTATCATAAATTTTGAAGCTGTTTCGAATACTTATTTTATAATTTTTATTTGAAAATAAATTATTTTTGTAAAATAAATACACAAAATGCATTTTTACAAGATCGGTAAATTGAACGAGGAAAATTCTTTGAAAATATGGACCGTAAACCACACCTTGGTATAGGATATTATTTGTTATAAATACCTACGCCTTTTGACCCAAGTTTTTTTAAAACAAATATGTAGATGTGCCCCTCTGTCTAAATGGCTGGTACGCGCAGCAACTCAAATTCGAATATATAGAATATCGGACCATTATTTGTGGTATCTTATATATATATATTTGGTCGTGCAAACATAGTATCCGATTTTGCATAACCGTATATTTTTAGCAAACCTATATCATATTTCAAGAAGGGACATATCGGTCTACTACTACCGGTACCCTAATAATTTCTGTATAAGAATCATTAAATAAAAGAGGGAGAGTGGATTTAAACCTAAAAAATATAGGGCGGAACCATAATACGATGTCTATATCACAAACCTGGTGCTATTTTACCCACAGAACAAGTGAAAAAGGCGTTAGGTTTTGTCGGGTTCATTTTTGTATACCCCTCCTTCCTGGTATACAGACATAACATAACAAAAGAGTTCAACTATGTCGACTATGTTCTCCAGGGCATCAGAAATACTACATTGCGGGCACTTTTAATGGAACATTTTCGGAACATTTAAAAGGTCGGGGTTGTGGACGCTGCGTATAGAAATGAAATATGTGATCTGTATCATTTTAATCGAAGGAACTTAGAGACGGTTGTGTACCATTTATATGAATCGGACAAAATTATGGAAATCTGGACCGACTTAAAGCAAGCTTAACTCCCGCCATGCGGTATACTGCAGCGCATCGTACGTTGACTATGTGGTGCACATCGGCCGAAAATATATATGGGAGTTTTACCTGCATCTACACCAACTTCAACAAAACGGACAAACCTTGAGATTTTGGTGCACTTTTTACTAGAATCGGACGAACATTTATATTTGCTTCGATTTTATAAAAACTATACATACGCCAATCTATACCTGATGCATTAAGATGTTCACAATTTAACCTTTATCGGACGATAAAATCGGATCGGAAATGATCGAAGTTGACCGGCATGTTAACAGTCGACCATAAAGCAGTTTTAAATCATGTACCCAAAGCTGGATTCAAAAATAACCTCAATGTTTGGGCGCCACACCAATTAACAGAAAAAATAGGCCTGATTGAATTTCCATCTGCGAAGCCGTGGCCAAACGGAATGAGATAGACCAATTTCTTAAACGGATGGTGACTGGAGATGAGAAATGTATCACATACGAAACGAAAACGATCGTGTTCAAAGAGCGGTGAAGTACCTCAAACGGTGGCCAAACAAGGACTAACAGGAAGGTTCTGTTATGCATTTGGTGGGACTGAAAGGGGATTATTTATTATAAGCTTCCATATAGCTAAACGCTAAATTCTTATCTCTACTGTCAACAACTGGACCGTTTGAAGGTAGGAATTGACCAGATACGGCCAGAATTGGCCAACAGGAGAGGTGTTGTGTTCGACCAGGACAACGTTAGGCCACAACTTCTGTAGGTTGGGAAGTTTTAATGCATCCGACATACAGTCCGGACTTGACACCAAGCGGGAGGTATCTCGGGAGGATTGTGAAATTCGACTACTAGAGTTTTTTTGCAAATAGAGAGCAGGACATCTATGAGAGAGGCATTATTTAAAATGACAAAAAATCATATAACAAAATGGTGCATATTTGGCCCAAATCGATCATTCCGAAGCATCTTAAATAAAGTTCTATAGTTCATATACAAACCGGTTTATATTTAGATATAGCTCCCATATAGTTTCGTCCGATTTAATGTAAATGATGCACCGAACTGCCTAGATTTGTCCCATTGAGACAAAATTTTACACAGCGTACTGAATCAGTTTGACGTATGTGAAGTTTTGTATAAATCGGTTCAGATTTCCGATTCCGATTTTATGTTCGTTTGATTGAGAAGAAATTTTGCATAGCCTATGGAATTATGCATGGTATAATAATAGAAGGTAACAGCAAGTGTTGTTGTACAAAAAACGATACAACAACCACATGGAAATTTGTTTTTGTAAGTTCTACTAGTGTCAACTCATTTGACAGAAAAATGTAAACAAATAAACAAATTATCATCAAATTATTATACCCTTCACCACACTGTGGTACAGGGTATTATGTATTTGTGCATATGTTTGTAACAGGGAAAAGTAATCGAGATAGACCCATGGTTCCTTTTGAGAATATGCATAGAATTACTTTCTGAGTCGATTTACGCATGTCCGTCTGTCCGTCCGTCTGTCCATGTTAAATTGTAAACAAAGTACAGGTCACATTTATGATCCGAATTGGATGAAATTTGGCATAGGTCACTTATTCGGCCCAAGGACGAACCCTATTGAAATTGGGAAAAATCGGTTCAGATTTAGATATAGCTCCCATATATATATTTAACCGATTTAATGTAAACGGTCCCTATATAACCTTAGATTTGCACGAAATTTGGTACAGCATAATCACTTAGGTCTTGAATGATGTCTGCCAAGTTTCGAGAAAATCGGTCCAGATTTAGATATAGCTCCCATATATAGTTTCGTCCGATTTCAAGTAAATGGTGCTCCAAAGTCCCTATATATCTTTCGATTTGCACTATATTTGGCATAACGTACTGAATTGGGCCTAGAATGATGTCTGCCAAGTTTCATGAAAATCGGTCCTGATTTAGATATAGCTCCCATATATAGTTTCGTCCGATTTCATGTAAATGGTGCCCCCAAAGTCCCTATATATCTTTCGATTTGCACGAAATTTGGTACAGCCTAATCATTTAGGTCTAGTATTATGTCTGCCAAGTTTCGTGAAAATCGGTTCAGATTTAGATATAGCTCCCATATATAGTTTCGTCCGATTTCATGTAAATGGTGCCCCAAGTCCCTATATATCTTTCGATTTGCACGAAATTTGGCATAAGTTACTGAATTGAGTCTAGAATGATGTCTGCCAAGTTTCGTGAAAATCGGTCAAGGTTTAGAGATAGCTCCCATATATAGTTTCGTCCGATTTCATGTAAATGGTGCACCAAAGTCCCTATATATCCTTCGATATGCACGAAATTTGGCATAACGTACTTAATTGAACATATAATGATGTCTGCCAAGTTTCATGAAAATCGGTCCTGATTTAGATATAGCTCCCATATATAGTTTCGTCCGATTTCATGTAAATGGTACATCAACGTCACTTTATATCCTTCGATTTTCACGAAATTTGGCATAACGTACTGAATTGAGCCTAGAGTGATGTCTGCCAAGTTTCGAGAAAATCGGTCCAGATTTCTATGTAGCTCCCACATATAGTTTCGTCCGATTTCATGTAAATGGTGCACCAAAGTCGTTACATATCTTTCGATTTGCACGACATTTGGCATAACGTACTGAATTGAGCCTAGAGTGATGTCTGCCTTGTTTCGTGAAAGTCGGTCCAGATTTAGATATAGCTCCCTTTTATTATAGATTGATTTTAAGTAATTGACGCACCAAGGAACCAATAGGAACAAAACGTTCTGAAATTAGTATAACCTAACCTGTGACAAGTTTGTTTGAAATCGCTTAATATTTGGATAGAGCTTCCATATATATTTTCGCCCGATTTCAAGTAAATTGGGCATCATACTCCTCATGTTAGTCAGAGTGACATCAAATTTTGCACAACGTACAAAATTGAGCATAGAATTACGCAGTTGCGTTTTCTAGAAGTACAGACATAGTCCAACGGATGACCTATTTATATTTTATATAGGAAGATTCACATTTAGATAAATATCACATATTTTATTTCATCCAATTTCATGTTAATAGTCCTGTTTAATATACCCATAGTGGTGAAGGGTATCATATAGTCGGCCCCGTCCGACTTTACTACTTTCCTTACTGGTTATACCCTTCACCACACTGTGGTACAGGGTATTATGTCTTTGTGCATATGTTTGTAACAGGGAAAAGTAATCGAGATAGACCCATGGTTCCTTTTGAGAATATGCATAGAATTACTTTCTGAGTCGATTTACGCATGTCCGTCTGTCCGTCCGTCCGTCCGTCTGTCCATGTTAAATTGTAAACAAAGTACAGGTCGCATTTATGATCCGAATTGGATGAAATTTGGCATAGGTCACTTATTCGGCCCAAGGACGAACCCTATTGAAATTGGGAAAAATCGGTTCAGATTTAGATATAGCTCCCATATATATATTTAACCGATTTAATGTAAACGGTCCCTATATAACCTTAGATTTGCACGAAATTTGGTACAGCATAATCACTTAGGTCTTGAATGATGTCTGCCAAGTTTCGAGAAAATCGGTCCAGATTTAGATATAGCTCCCATATATAGTTTCGTCCGATTTCAAGTAAATGGTGCTCCAAAGTCCCTATATATCTTTCGATTTGCACTATATTTGGCATAACGTACTGAATTGGGCCTAGAATGATGTCTGCCAAGTTTCATGAAAATCGGTCCTGATTTAGATATAGCTCCCATATATAGTTTCGTCCGATTTCATGTAAATGGTGCCCCCAAAGTCCCTATTTCATGTAAATGGTGCCCCAAGTCCCTATATATCTTTCGATTTGCACGAAATTTGGCATAAGTTACTGAATTGAGTCTAGAATGATGTCTGCCAAGTTTCGTGAAAATCGGTCAAGGTTTAGAGATAGCTCCCATATATAGTTTCGTCCGATTTCATGTAAATGGTGCACCAAAGTCCCTATATATCCTTCGATATGCACGAAATTTGGCATAACGTACTTAATTGAACATATAATGATGTCTGCCAAGTTTCATGAAAATCGGTCCTGATTTAGATATAGCTCCCATATATAGTTTCGTCCGATTTCATGTAAATGGTATTTTCACGAAATTTGGCATAACGTACTGAATTG